TTGCTTATTAAAGGGATAAACTTTTCAGGTAGATAGTGCTTTACGGCTGTGGTAGAAAGTAATTGGGTAAAGTACAAAAAATTACCTCAACCATGGGTCAAATGACACTTTCATACCTCATCTTTTAAAATTGACAATGTCATATCTCATCTTACGAATTTGTGTCAATGTTATACCTTCCGTTAGTTTGGCCGTTTATTTCTCAGTTAAATGCTGACGTGGCTTGATCTGGGACCCATTTTTATTAAAAAATTAATAAAAAATTATTAAAAACAAAAAAAATCATTTAATATTATTTAAATATTAAAATAATAAAGAAAAGTTATTTAAAAAAAAAAAAAAAAAACCAACATCAATTCGTCTCTCCCCCCCTCTCTCCCTTCTCCCCATCTTCATCTTCTTCCTCTTTCTGCAACTGCAACCCAGAAAAACAGAAGAGAAAAAAAAAAAAAAAACAATTTGTTTTCCCTGCTCCTCACCCCCTCTTCTCCCCACACCCACGCACCCAACCTCCCCACCTTCGCACCCCACCCTCTGCACCCAACCTCACACCCACTACCTACAACCCAAGAAAAAAAAAAAAAGCCCAGAAAAAAACCCATTCTCCTGGGCGAGGAGAAAATGGGCGGCGGGGGCGCGGGGGGTGTTAAACATTTTCACCTTCGGGAAGAAGATTGCCCGAGCCCGCGAAGGCGGTCCATCCAGTTGTTCTCAGAGATCAGACCCGCCCAATGCGGAGGAGCTCAGGCGAAGGAAATTCCTCGCATGGCCTCCCTGACCCTCATCGCATTCTCCGCCGTAAGCGGCGCGTTTCTGCGGTTCTCGTCTTCTCTGAAAGCCCTAATTATCTCCGAGTTGGAAGCAACCTCCTCCTCCACTTCTTCTGCTTCTGCTTTGTCATCGCTGCTTCTGTTCAAGCGATCACTACGCCCGACGCCGTCGTTTAGCTGGAGAGACGAGATTCCTCCGTCGACCTGATTGACAGTGACGTCGTTGGAGTGCAGCTGGGAGTGGATCGGGACGGTGTCGTTTCCGATCTGGTCGTCGTCGTCTTCGGAGTCGACGGTAGAAACTAGCTGGTAGAATTCGGCGGCAGGGGGTTGGGTTTGTGGTGGGGGAAGGGGGTATGAACTGGGTTTGGTTTGGTTTGGGTTTTTTTTTTTTTTTATTTTTTGTCCTCTTCTTCTTCTTCTTCTTCTTCTTTCTCCTTTTTCTTTTCTGGGTTGTAGGAAAATGATAGGGAAGAGAGAGAGGGGAGAAGGAGAGGTTTGTTTTTTATTTTTTTATGTACTTTTTTATTATTATTTTAATATTTAAATAATATTAAATGATTTTTTTTGTTTTTAATAATTTTTTAATAAAAATGGGTCCCGGATCAAGCCACGTCAGCATTTAACTGAGAAATAAACGGTCAAGCTAACGGAAGGTATAACATTGACACAAATTCGTAAGATGAGGTATGACATTGTCAATTTTAAAAGATGAGGTATGAAAGTGTCATTTGACCCATAGTTGAGGTAGTTTTTTGTAATTAACTCAAAGTAATTATACTTATACATTATGGTGCAGGTTTAATCTCCGTCGATTCTCTTTCTCTCTAACAACTAACAATTTAACCCACTAACACTATTGTTTGTCAAAAAATAAAATAAAAATAAAAGGGTTGTTCAAGTATTGATGTACAAAGCTAATTCCTTTTTACCTTAAATGTTAAACCCTAAATTTACTAGCTAATGTCGATTACTCGAATTTTGTGGTATGACATAGAAGTCCTAATTGACGACACATTTTCTTACTCGAAACATATATTAAAATAATTACGAAATATGTGTCTTGATTCCCTGACCACAAAATTTATATCAAATCGTCCCCATAAATGAAATTTCATGCTCACAATAGCAAATGTCAATAAAATCCCACCACGACTAAATTGAAGGACTCCATCGGGGCAAATTAGTGTGATAATTTATAACACACCTACAAACTGGTCCATGAATGGAGACAAAAGATGTCTATTTCTCATCATTTAAAAAAAGAAACGAAAAGGAGATACCTATCAAATCTCCCACTTTTAATGAAAATTTAATAATTAATCGAATGCCACCATCCACATCTTAAATCATATTGTGACTAATTTATCATTCTTTTAATACAAACGATATTTTAATTTAATTTATATTATAAGGAGGGTTTGAACCACGAGTGAGTTAAAGATGAGGACTTTAATAACTATGGCAATTCATCACTTGCAAATTATCATTTTATTATAAGACACTCTTGTACGATTTAAACGAGTCAAAGCTCTAATTCGTAGTTCGCCTCGTCTAATTCTACATGGATCAAGTCACTACTAGTTCACTAGTCCGGGATGTGTTTATAAATGCTTTTCAATTCTCTGAAAGCGTCCTTTATGAAAATATTTTTGAAACCATTTCTAAGTGAAAATTTAAGTGGATCTTGAAAATGCGCCTTTTCAAATAGCACTTTGGATAAAACAATTTCACCAAAACTGCTATCAGTTATTTTAAAAATACTTCCAAACGAGCTCTTACTTATTTACCATTTGCCCAAGATTGTATCCTTCTTCAAGAATATCATATTAATTCTCCTTTTTTTTTTTTAGAAAAAGTGAATTTTTTTTATGGTTTTCTGCCTCAATATCCACAAAATACAGAAAAAAAAAAAAGATAAAAGAAAAATATGAAAGTGGAGTGGGATTAGTTGGGTTTTCGGGTGGGTTTATTCAAGAATTTGCGAGATATGGCCTTATAATGTGTTTGCTTATTCATCACAAAACCTTCCCCCGACGATTGCGCAATGCGCACAGGATGACCCTGTAAAGGAGTCAAACTTCAAAACCGGAAGTCCACAAACTTGAAATATTTTAGTTGGTCATTATCACACAATGTTATCAATTAACGTATTATAATATTTATAAAAGAAATTTTATTTGAAACCATATAACATTTTTCTACACTTAACTTAAACTTTAAATATGAATTGTTTTTTTTACCCTGTACATAATTATCATTAAGTACAAGATAAAGTTAACAATAAACTAAAATTTATTAATAAACTCACACCCAATAATCAAACAATCTACAATGTTTATCCTACATTCACCCCCCATCAAACTGATCGCGCGGCAAATGCAACCCTTGAACACTTGGAAGATGTTGGCATATATTGTCTGGTAAACTACCACTTTAAGTTGTTTAGCATTAGCTTGCACAAACAACCACTCCACCTAATCTTTACTGCCAATCAAGTTTGGAATTCCTGAAAAATCAACACATACGTATATGTATTGGAATGGTTCCGTTAAAGATTCAAGTCGTTGAACTAAAGCTAATCAACTTCAACTTGTGTAGATGAGACAATTCTGGTGGCAAGGTACCACCAAAATTGTTGTTTTTGAATTCCAGCTCAACAAGAAATGATAAGTTGCCTAGGTGGGGATTTGAGAGCAAGAAGAGCAGCCTAGTTTGTGCTGAAGTTGGCTTGTGCTGCTACTGAACCTATTCTTAAGATAGGTACGTATATACAAAAGTATTGGACTAGTAGCAACAACATTGTCAACGAGGGGAAACAAGTTGTCGCCAATGTTCTGCATTGTGAACCAAGAAATCAGAAGAAATAGGAACTCAAAGATAGTCTTTTAATCTATTGGGCAAATGAATCTTTGGCGGCAATTACATATTGTCAACCCGGTAAGTTTAAAATTGTGTTGAATTTTACGTGGTTTTTAATGAGTGTAAAGATAAATTTACATAATGAATTGGGTTGTAAGGTGATTTAAATAATAAATTTGGATTTAAAGAGATATCAATAGTTTAATTAAAAATAATATGAGTGTAGAGAGTAAGTTGAGTGTATAAAGAAGTTGTATGAGTTCAAATAAAAATTCTCTAATCATAAAGTCCACAAACTCGAAATATTTTAGTTGGTCATTATCACTTAGTATTATAAATTAACGTGTTATAGTATTCTTTAACAATATAATTTATATTTCGTTAGCGGGACAGTCACGTTAAAACTTTATCCAACCAACTCGTGACCACCCTTAGCAGTCCGATCAATACAACCACATACAAACAAATCCAATTTATTGTATTAAATAGTAAATATATGTAAATATTATAGTTAAATCTGAAACAACTAACATACAAGTGTAAATTCGAATAATACCAATTTTTTAATTTTTAAAAACAAACTATCCTCATCTGATTAAGGATAAAGATCAACGTAATCCTAAATCGATGGAGAAAATTAATTTCCAAAAAGAAAGTGATGGGAGAAGATTATATTTCCGAAAAAACAGAATGTTATAACTTGGTAAGTGCCCTTTTACTATAGTAATGGAAAGGAGTTGAGTCCTTGCATGATGACGTGGGTTCGAACTCCGTCAGTATTTAATCTAATATCTAATATACCAAAATTTATCGTTTAACAGGAAAAAAAAAATGTTACAATTTGCACCCCAAAACGAAACCCAATCGATCAGTCCGAATCCTCTTTGTGAGGATTTCAGAAATCCGTGAATTGTGTCCGTTCATCATACATCGTGCGGTTAGAAATCATTTAAAAAATTTGTATTTAAAAATAAACATAAACAATGGTTGATAAAAATTGATCCACAATATACGATAAACGTACACAATTCACAAACCCTCAGATTCTCACAAACGACACTGACAATTTGGCAAATCGGCCTTAAATATTCCGACAAAAAAAAAATGGACATAAAAAAATAAACCGGTAATTCCACGTGAACCTCCCTCACTATTCATCATGTTAGCCTTGTCACGTGCTTTGTCGTCTACACAAAGTCCGGTGTGCGGCGCGGGGCCCACCCAACCATCGAAAATAATGAATATCTGGTAGACCGTGGAGCCATCTTCGCCGTCCGATAAGTGCACCTTCACCAAGATTCCGTAAAACCACCGCAGGAGATTAATGACATCTCCTCTATTTTTCCGGGAGTCAACAAATCAAGAAAAAATTAAATCCCAACTGTAATTACGCACTGACGAGTTGCATACACGTTCATTTGCTCTCTCTCTCTTCACCTCTCGCTGTGAGTGTGAAATCGGAAAGCAAATTAGAGGAATAATCAGGGAGAATGAGAAAAGCAAATGGCATATGCGCGTTGCGTGGTTCGGAGCTAAAGCATTTGGCTAGGTCTGTTCATCGTCTTCGTCTTCCTCTTCCATGGCTGCTGCTTCTCCTCTGCTGCCCTGTCTTTTCAGTCGCTTCGGCGAGACCGGGTGAGTGCTCGTGAACTTTTGGTTTTGCTTTTCGATTCTCGATTGCATTGCTGCTTCGCAATTCGTGCTGCTGTTTTGATTCTTGGAGTGTTGAAAATTGAAGTGAAATTTCAGTGTGTTGGAGTTGGAGTCAATTTTGGACTGATGATTTAGTTTGAACTGCGTACTGATGCTAATTCATTTAGTTTTTAGTGTAATTTTGGTGGAGATCTCGTGATTTTTCTCTATTATTTGTATGGAATTTGATGTTTTTTGAAGAAATGGAAGTGAATCGGAGAGTAAAAGTGGAAAATAATTTAAGTGTTACGCTTTTTTCTGGAATTTTTTTAAAAGGAAAAGTCAATGAACTTGAATTACTTATGGAAAAGGAAAGGAATCTGCTAATTGGAAACAGAGAATGGCCTAAACCAATGCTTAATGTAGGTTTTGTTTCGTCATTAACGGGAAATGCAAAGCTGATGATTAAGATTTTTTACTGGAAACAGAGAGCTTTGCATTTGTGTATTAATTGCAGATGGTGCATTATGCTCACTGGGCTCTCAACGTATTTGGTGAATTTTTCAATTTTCTTCTTGCTTTGTCTTTTTACTGAATGAGGCGATTACCTCAAAATGCATAAGTATCGTTATCTGCTTTCACATCAGTTAGCAGTTAGGACACTGTAAAATGCATACTCAAATTTGGAGAAGATTTGGTCTCTGTCACATGTTTGGTGAAGTTGGTATTACGATTTGTTAGCCATGATGCACACAACACATGTTTATAAAGCTTAGAGATATGACCTGATGCTTTACATTGTCTTCCTGTTCGGATTTTGGTTTTAACTTGTGTAATATGCTTCTGAGTACAGCGCCATTTGCTATGCGCATAAGCTGTGGAGCTCGGGAGAATGTGATTACAAAACCATCCAATACCACATGGTTTAAGGATTTTGATTATTCAGGGGGGATACCTTTTAATGCGACCCACCCGAGTTTTATCACTCCTCCACTTGATACACTTCGCTATTTTCCCCTCTCCGAAGGTCCTGAAAATTGTTACATGATCAATAGAGTTCCCCATGGGCACTATGTAATCAGGATTTTCTTTGGGTCGATTGCACTACCAAACTATGACAACGAACCTTTATTTGATATTTCTGTCGAGGGAACTCAAATTACCTCTTTAAAATCTGGTTGGAGTACCCACGATGATCAAGTATTTTCTGAAGCACTTGTATATTTGAGAGATGGATCTGTGTCTATCTGCTTCCATAGTACTGGTCACGGGGATCCGGCAATTCTTGCCATTGAAATTCTTCAGATTGATGAAAGAGCATACCAGTTTAGCCAGCAAGTATCTGAAGGAATAATCCTTAGAACAGCAAAAAGATTGAGCTGTGGTGTTGAAGACGCAAAGTTTGGTGTGGATTACAACGGCGATCAATGGGGTGGGGATAGATTTTGGAATTATATAATGACTTTTGGTCAGATTGCTGATACACGCAGATCCACTCAGGGAACCATTAAGCAGGCTTCAAGTCCACCAAACTTCTACCCAGCTGCTCTTTATAAACAAGCACTTGTGAGTATTGATAGTCAGCTCGACTTAGAATATACCCTGGATGTGGATCCCAACAGAAACTACTCCATTTGGTTGCACTTTGCTGAGATTGATGCTTTGATCACTGGTGTAGGCCAAAGGGTATTTGATATCCTGATTAATGGTGACACTGTATTTGAAGATGTGGATGTTATCAAATTGAGTGGGGACCGTTATGCTGCTCTTGTACTTAACACAACTGTTGCCGTAAGCGGGAGGACCTTAACCATAACTTTGCACCCTAAAAAAGGTGGTGCAATAATCAATGCCATTGAGATCTTTGAGGTTATAATGGCCGAGTCAAAAACTTTATCAGACGAAGGTACATTTGTGCTACTCTTTGTTTATCTAAGTTTCGTTTCAACTTTCTCTAGCGTCTATAGCAATATGTATATGTCATACACGAAACAATAATGCTGATCATGTAGCATGCACACAATTAAATAATGCTTAATGAAGTAGTTTTGCAAGTGTTACAGATGAACTATTTGATATTTCCCAAATCAATTAATCTGTTTTCGTTTATGCTAATGCTTTTGAAAACATCTTGACCACATGTTTTCTGTTAGAGATTTTTTTCAGTGCGTCTTATTTATATCTTGAAAAGTTATAGACTGTATATATCAGAAGTCAAGGCGTTACTGGAATTGAAGAAAACTCTATTGAAACTGTAATTAATTTCTCTCCCCTTTCTTTTTCACAATAAAAAAAATTCCAGTTAATGCGTTACTGTCATTGAAGAAAACATTGGGGCTTCCTGTTCGGTTGGGGTGGAATGGTGATCCATGTGTTCCCCAACAACATCCATGGAGTGGAGCCGATTGCCAGTTTGATAGAACAAGCAACAAATGGGTCATCGACGGACTGTAATTTCTTGATCCTTAACCTCATTTCTTTTCTCTTATTTGATCTTATTTCTCATTTATAGTACAAATGCATTTATGCTTCACATTGCTCATGTTCTTCAGTTTCTAGTCTCTTTATTTTTTAACTGCTAGATGTGCAAACATCAGACAATAAAAAGATATGCAAACAACTTTGCTTTCAAATATTTAAAAAGCCTGATAAATGTAAGTCTGAATAGTGTGGATCTTCAGACAACCATAAGCATGACAGGTTGTATACCAGTTGATGTATTCTGTTACCCTTCTGAGATTCATTTATAAGGAAATCGTATTAATTTAAATTCTTTGTTGCCTTGTGAAAGTATGTTTATTTCGTACTGTATACCTTCAAATTCGAAGTACACAAGGTGTTAAAAGTAAGCCAGTTTGGCCCACTGAGCATCTAGTCTACCTTCCTCAGTTCCTATTGTTCTTTGCTGTGAACAAGCAGCCTTTTTTTTTTCCTCCTGTTGGACTTGGTAAAGAACAAGGAATAAGGGCATTAGAACAAATATCATATACTTAGTTGCTTATTTGACAGGGGAAGTATCTGGCCAACTATGACATCATGTACTGAACCAATGCATTTTGCACTATGTATTTCAATGCATCATGTTAATTTAGGTATGGCATTTCATTATGACATCTTGTGCCCCCTCGTTATTTAGTCTTGACCCATTCCCTATATTTGTGTCCTAAATTTCTAATGGCTTCTGGTCAGCCGAGTTAATGTTTAATTCTCTATTGGTTCAGTTATTTCTCTAGAGGAGGCTTTTTGGCCTTTTCTATTTGACTTTTGAGAGCCATAACAATTGATAACTCAGTGGGTGAAAATCATCTAGTGTTCATGAATGTAGTCCTGATGTGCTTCAGCCACTTGAATTGTGTCCATTTGGCATAATCTTTAGTCTTCTTTCGTTACCATAGTTTATTCATTTCACTGATTCCTTCGCATCAAACAGTCACAAGAATATTCGTTTCAACAAATCGGAATCTTAGCACTTTTTATGTTCCAGCACCATTTTCCACTACATAAGTCCATTGTTAGTCTGTGCATGCATGGGTGAATGGAACGGAAATGCATTTTCGTATTAGCTACATTTGTATGCAAAAGAAAAATCTTTCAGTGCAGTGTTAAAGAGTTATTCTCATAATGCCTGAAGAAAGCACCTTAGCATTTGTTTGTTCCATTGCCATTTGTACATCCTTTTGGCAATGAGTGTTTAACTCTGCATGCACAGGGCTCTGGACAACCAAGGGCTGAAGGGATTCTTGCCGAATGACATATCCAAATTACGTCATCTACAAAGCATGTGAGTTCCTCTCTAAGGCTTGCTTTGAATAAAAATTTAAACTTTGCAAGCTTCTGTTTGGCATCGTTGTTTTTTATTCAACTTGACATGCTAAACTTTGATGAAATGGTACTCTTTGCATAAAGTGAGACAGCTAGGCATTAGAAGTGTTTTACAGCCTTTTCAACACATGTTTTGTTTTACCTTGTGGACTTACAGAAATTTGAGCGGAAATAGCATGCAAGGGCCCATTCCTTCCTCACTCGGAAAGATAACAAGCTTAGAAGTATTGTAAGTGCAGCTCATATATTCTCTTATCAGAAAGTGTTAAATGTTTTATTTTTTTATTTTTCCTGGGCAGCGTATCCAAGGGTTGTGGTTACCACAGTTGAATTTCATAATTAAAAACACTCATGCTCCTTCCTTTGCAGGGACTTGTCGTTCAATTCCTTGAATGGGTCAATTCCTGAAACGCTTGGACAGTTGACCTCGTTGCAAACACTGTAAGACATATTATAACGCAACTTACAGTTGTATGAAACCCAAATGTGTAGGAAGAAGACTCTTAACTTAAGTTGTGTTGCAGTAATGTCAATAGCAATTCTCTGTCCGGAAAGGTCCCAGCTGCTCTAGGAGGCAGGCTTTTGCACAGAGCAAGCTTCAAGTAAGAATTAGACACGCATAACCTGCACGCTTTTTGGGCTTTTGCAAATGTTAACATAAATAGAAATGTTTGTATACTGATACTGAACTCAATATTTGGTTTTGGTTCAGTTTCACAGATAACCATGGACTATGCGGTATACCAGGACTACCTACGTGTGGGCCACACCTCACGGCCGGAGCAAAGATTGGAATTGGGTTTGGTGTTTTGGCTGCCTTCCTAGTTCTCGTTATAGGTTCGATATGCTGTTGGAAAAGGCGGCAGAATATCCTTAGAGTACAACAAATTGCAGGTAAGGATGTTTAATCTCTTAAGCAAAATCCGACTGCATAAGACAGTCGTCGAAATTACGTTACTTCCTTGCATGTTACGTTACAACTCCTGGAAGGCTTTAGCATAAATACACTGTTGTTTTCTCAAATTCTGATCTGGCTTGTGCAGCAAGAGACGCTCCGTATGCAAAGGCGAGGACGCATTTGTCACGTGACATCCAGATGAACAGGCAGTACAATCATCACGGCCAATCTAGAACGGCAGCAGAGACTGGGCCTATTTTGCTTACATGATTAGAGACGACGTTCGGCCCAGAGCCCAATATAGTTGAAGCTTTTGATCTGTTTACATGGGCCTTAGAGTCACGTACAGAAGTTCGGATCCCCCGTGGGATTTGCCATACATGCTGCAGAACAAAGGGAAAAGAAAAAACTTGTACATTTGGTCTAATTATTTTCTTTCTTTTCAGTTTTGGTAAAGATTTTTAACAGATAGCGGAAGTGATGCATATAGAATGTAGAATACTAAATTAGACTTATAAGAAATTGTTCAACGTTTGAATGTCACACATTCAGGTTTTGGGGATCGTCGAGCGCAAAAAACTTATTTGCAACAGGGTGTACGTGTTTGTGTCTTTGTCTCTCTCTTGATGTTGGTATACCAAAGTAAACGAGAGGACTTTTATGAAAGATATATACGGTCCATGCCCAGTATTAGAGAAGACTTTACATACTAATGGAACGCCATGTTGACAGTATTTCAAGTTAATAATGCCATGTTAACCGTTTCAAATTAATAACTTAAAGACCAAGAGTAAATTGCAAAGCTCTAGAAATTGCCAATTACATTAACAGCTTGTTGCTATAGTAAACCACATTACTAAATTCAAGTTCGACCTCTGTTGCCAACAGTTCTCATTGGTGTACGATCCGTAATTTTCAGCGTAAATCAATACCGTGGTAACTGGTAATTATGTGTTACCCGTATATCCTTCCGACTTAAAGTTATGAGTATAACTTAACGCTAATGGTAAGAGTAATCAATCTTCTCCTAAACTTCTTACGCACGACAAGCATGTTCCACTACCATCACACGTGTCAACCCTCCAAAAATCAGAGATCCGACATGATATTTAACAAAACTAAAAAAACAACTCAGGTTCCCGTGAGTTGCTTACGGAGGATGAGAGCTTCAGTCCTTTACTCGTTTACCAACCGTACGATTATCTCCTTCAGATATCTGTACGTTGGGTCAGCAGCCAGTGGGTCAGTGGTCGCACACCCGCACCCTAACCCAAAACCCAGTCAAACACGCCATCGACGCAAGCCTACCCGGCAGCAGCCCATCTCAGAAACCCGCCCCAAACTCAATTCAACGGGTCTACCCAACTCGCCCTCTGTCTCCTCCAACTGAGACACCGCCTCTATACCCGCCACGTGTCCCCTCTCCTCACAACCAAACAACCGTTTCTATCCAATCCACTATGCGATACGCCACCCCGGGCCCCACTTCACCAATTTCTTTCCCAAATAATAATAAAAAATTAAAAAAAAAACCAAAAATATGGCAGGCGCCGCTGAGCCCGACCGCAGCGCCGTACAATATCGGTAGGGCTTACATCACCGCGCCACAGGAACCCACACGTCTGCTCAGGCGGCGGCACGCTTTACTATTGGGCCCCACGCACCCTCCTCACGTGCAACGCTATCTCGCGCTCACACCACCACCGTTCGATGGCACATGAGCCCAAATCTCCAATCCTGATATCAATCCAACGGCCCAAGTAATTAACAAATAAAAATAGAACGCATAACCCAATCAGAACAATCAGTATATATATATAGACGTTGGATGGAGCCGTGCCGTCCAGCCGACGATTACGGGTGTCTGAGTGGGACCCCCTATTTTTCACTTTCCACAGCCATTCAACTTCTCTCAAAACCCCCTCTCTCACACTTTCTCACTCAAAAGCTTTGCGCTCTCTCTCTCTTCTTTCTCTATCTAGATCTTTCCATGGCGACTGCAGCTGCTCCGTCTTCCTCCCGCGAGGGCCACTACCGGGGCGTTAGGAAGCGGCCGTGGGGCCGGTACGCAGCAGAAATCCGGGACCCGTGGAAGAAGACGAGGGTCTGGCTAGGCACATTCGACACGCCGGAGGAAGCCGCCCTTGCATACGACGGCGCCGCCAGGACGCTCCGCGGTGCCAAGGCCAAGACCAACTTTCCTGCGCCGATCCCCAGCGGCATCTCCCTCGACCTCAACGCTCCTTCGGCCACCCACTGGGCCTCCCACTCCGGCCGCCTCGTCGACTTCCTCCACACCGGCGTCCTCAACGACATGGGCAGCGATGGGGCAACCACTGATACGCCGCCGTTGATGGCAAGGAGGGAACCTCAGCAAACTCCAGTTGGTGTAGCGGGAAATGCCCCCGCCGGCGGCAGTAATGATACGGTCCCGGAAGGTTCGGGTTTCGGCAGTACGGCGTTGTTTCTGGGACTGGTCCGACGTGGTTTGCCTATTGATCTCAATGAACCTCCTCCCATGTGGCTGTGAAGAGAAGCACTATTCGTTACGGCGTCGCTCTATGTTTTTTCCCTCTCACCGTTCGTTCTAATTATCTCTCTCGCCATAATTTTTCTTTTTATTTTTAGTATTTCACTAATTATCTAAAGAAAATCTTCACTGTTATGGTTCGGATGTATGAAGATATTAAAATTTGAGAGGCTTTCTGTATATATATTTCCATATTTCTTTTTTATTATTATTATTTTTTTTTTTTGTAATTTATGAGTTAGAAATGTCATCTGGTTTTTCCAGTGCGAGTGGGGATCGTCTGTTTCCGATAATCTGAGCAGTGAGCAGCCCCATGAAATTTGAAGGGAAAAATAGACCCACTTGCAGTTTGGGGCGCGTGGGCGTTGAGAGTGTCCATGTCTGTCCCGACACGACGAATGCAGTAACCCTAATTATTAATTAAACTAGTTCAATTAAATTCTTCATCTGTCATACAACCTCCCGTCTCACCTTGCATGATTATTAATTTTCTTACGTACTATACGTAACTGTAGGGTTTTTGCAAGGAATTTATTGTTGAAGTGGTAAACTTTTATTTATTTATGCAATCGAGTTTTGGTGTTTGATTTTTCGTTTTCTCATGTCCCTGTATACGTGCAACAACTGGAATATTGATGGGTATAGGTATTGTTTGTCTCGTTACCGGTTTTTCCAAATGAGTAATGCTATAGAAATTAAATTTATATACTATATTTTGTAAAATAAATGATATGTAAGTTGATGATTAGATTATTACTTAAACGTTGATAAGCGAGCTCATTTTCTATTGGTGACACATCATTTAGTTTGCAAATTTAGTCTATAACTTTAGTCTTCCTAGCATTATTCTTTCCCAAATATAATTTTTGTATGTCGTTCAATAAGTAAACATAACAGTTAATGTAGTGGCTAAACTTCAACAATGAGTATCATAATAGTTGTAGTTGATTTTATTAATTTCCTAGTGTAATGCAAAATACATGGATCGTGACTACATACTTGTTAATTATCCGTAAACCTGGACCATCATTCACTATAATTCGAGATTGTGATTGTGATTTGTAGAAATTATTGTAGGGCCTTATCAATAAAATGGCCGCGTTCTTCCTGTGGTGTGATGTTGCCGGCTTCGGGTCCCTTTCTCTTCTCTCTTTTTCCATCCTCTCTGGGAATCATCTACTGTCCATCTCTTTCAACCCAGCCAATATTTGAAAAATAATATTATTCATTTATTGACTAATTTACAAAACCTTGATTAAAATGTTGATGACAAAAAAAATCACATGCATTATATATCAATTTCAACCCAAGTGAGTGACAACCTTTGGAGTTTTCCTTTCCAGATGTATTCTATAAAATGATTCTTGATCACAAATCTCGAACCAGTCGCGAAAGACAAATTTATAATTACATGTATGCATGACACCACGTATTAATTATGATGGATATTAGGGTTGGTATTTAAGACGTTTAACATGGTTCAACTCGACTCTCTCTGAGGAAGTCATTCTGTTCACTGTTGGTGTCTTCTTTGCTCATGATCTCTGGCTCAAACTTGAGCAGCAATTTGGGGGTGTCTCGGATGCACATATTCATCAATTACGTTCGCGGCTTCAGAATATTCAGAAAGGCTCTCAGTCAATGTCTGATTATCTTCAGCAAATCAAGGAGAACTCTGATTCCCTTACTGCTGCTGGAGCCTCTATCACTAATTATGATCTCATTGTAGCAACTCTTGCTGGTCTTTTGGATGATTTTGAGTCATTCACTGATTCCTTTATTACTCCATCTTTCGTCCACTTCCTTGGATGAATTACATGGCTTGTTGCTTACTAAGGAGCTATCCATGGCGCGTCGCAAGAAAACTTCCTTCTCTGAGCCTTTTCAAGCGTTCTCTGTGCAAGCCCAACCGCCACTCTTTCCCACACCACCACAAGCTCTTGCTGCTCAGAATCATGGAACTCTGCCACTTCAACATTCATTCCAGTATAATTCTAACCGAGGAAGGCAAATATGTGGATCTCACAGTCATGAATCTATTGATTGCTTCGATCGAATGAATCCAGAGATCTCAGGCAAGGTTCCTCCAGCTAAACTTGCTACCATGTGTGCCCATTACACTGCTAAGCCATCACATTCTTGGCTCATTAACTCGGGTGTTACCTCACACATTACAAATGATATCTCCAATATCCAGTCTCCTACTTCCTACAATGGTGAAGACAAGGTGTACATTAGAGATGGTAAAGGTCTATCTATATATCATGTTGGCACATCTATTTTGCATACTCCTGCTCATTCCTTTAAATTGCAAAATGTTCTTCATGTGCCTCAAATGCAACATAGTCTACTTTCTGCCTATCAATTTATCAAAGATAATGATTGTTCATTAACCCTTGATATTCATGGATCCTCTGTCAAGGATCGTTTTATGGGGATGACACTTTTGCAGGGACAAGTTAAAGATGGTTTCTTTCTTCTTCAAAGTTCATTTTCTCCCTACAAAGCTACTTATTCCACTCATGCTGCACTAGTAAGTACTTCTGCCAATGTCAAAATTTGGCACAGCCGGCTTGGTCATCCATCTTCTATTATATTTCGTAAAGTTTTGTCAACAAATAAAGTTGTTATACAAGGCAAATCCTCTCTGGACTTCTTCTACAATGATTGTGCTCTAGCAAAGAATCACAAGCTTCCATTTGGTGCTCCTCGATCTGTGTTTAGTAGAAGTCTTGAATTGTTGCATTGTCATGTCTGGGGGCCATCTCATGTTGTTTCAGTGAGTGATTATAGGTATTATTTGCTTATGGTTGATGATTACAGCAAGTATAGCTGGTATTTTCCCTTAAAGTCTAAGTCTTCTGTTTTTTCAACATTTGTGGGGTACAAATCTTTGGGGTTGAAGCATTTCCACTGCAACTTATTGGATTAATCGGCTTCCTCTTAGTGGCTTATTGCAATCTCCTTGGAAACTTCTTTTTTGTACCCCTCTAAATTACTCTTGGCTTAAAATTTTTGGTTGTGGATGCTTTCCTTGGCTCAAGCCATACACTTCATCCAAGTTGGACAACAAGAGTAAACAGTGTGTCTTTTTAGGGTATAGTCTTTAACACAAGGGGTATCATTGTCTTGATCTGGTTACATAAAGAATCTATATATCAAGGCTTGTGCTATTTGATGAAACTAATTTTTTGTTTCATTTTATATGAACTGCCTCTACTGTTACACCAAGTTCTTCTAATGGTTCTTCATCAATGAATCCCAATGTCACTTTACAATTTACTATACCCATTGCTCTTTATGCACCTGTTTCATAGCCTACCACTTGCAATGTACCTGCTGCACATCATATTTCTCCTACATCTTCAGGTTCACAATTTGTCCCCTTGGATGCTTATCCTTACCTGCACCTCTTACAATCTCTCAACCTCCAATTTTACCTGCAACACCTAATATACATCCTATGATCGCCAGATCTAAGGCTGGAATCTCTAAACCAAAAGCCTACTCAACTACCAAGTATCTTTTACCTGAATATGTTGATTTTATCCCCACTACTTATCCTCAAGGTTTGAAACATGCTCATTGGAGATCTGCTATAAAGGATGAGTACAATGCCTTGCAGTCAACAGGTACTTGGTCATTAGTATAGTTTAAAACATATCAGAACATAGTTGGATGTAAGTGGGCTTTTCGAGTTAAGAAACATCCAGATGGGACTATTGATTGGTATAAAGCCCAGCTTGTGACCAAAGGCTTTCATCAGTAAGCTGGTTTGGATTACAAAGAAACATTTAGTCATGTAGCAAAGCCAGTAACAATTTGAGTTCTTCTTTCTTTAGCAGTTCAATACGATTAGTTTCTCAACCAAGTAGACATCAGTAATTCATTTCTGCATGAGGATCTTCAGGAAGATGTCTATATGCACCAACCACCTAGTTTCAGTGATCCTAACTACCCTAATCATGTCTGCAAACTTCGAAAATCCTTGTATGGCTTGAAACAAGCCCCTCGGGCCTGGTTTGACAAATTATTTGCAGTTCTCAAGTCTTTGGGATTTCATCAATCAGAATTTTCTTTATTTGTGCTCAAAGCACCTATTCTTATTATTGTCTTGGTGTATGTCGATGACATACTTATCACAGGTCCTAATCCTACAGCTTGTCAACAATTTATTCAGAAATTGGGCACAACCTTTCCTGTGAAGGAATTGGGACCCTTGCATTATTTCTTGGGTCTTGAGGTTCAAAGATCTTCTGCATGTATCTTCTTACATCAAAGTAAGTACCTTCTTGACTTGCTTCAAAAGACACATATGAAAAGTGCTAAACCGTGTCTTACTCTTATTTGTTCCTTCAAACTTGATTACACATGCCCTTTGTTAACTGATCCAAAAAAGTACAGGTCCATTCTAGGTGTGTTGCAATACATAACTTGAACACGACCTAATTTATCTTTTGCTGTAAATCAAGTCTGTCAATTTATGCATGCTCTACGAGAAACACATCTCCAAGCAGTCAAAAGAATTCTCCGATTTCACAAAGGCACAATGAGGCAAGGTTTGTGGTTCAAGAAAGGTGATATCCATCTCAGTGCTTACTCTGTCGCTGATTGGGCTGGATGTATATTTGATAGACGATCTACTAGTGTGCATTGTATATTTTTGGAGTTGAATCTTATTAACTGGAGTGCTAAGAAGCAACGAATGATTGCTCGTTCCTCAACAAAAGCAGAGTACAGATCGTTAGCCCACACGGCAGCTGAAATAACATGGATATGTAAAGTGGTCAAGGATATTGGTCTTCACCTTCCTCAAGTTCCTCATCTCTAGTGTGACAACATTTCTGCAATTTCACTTGCCTCTAATCCAATTTTTCATGCTCAAGCCAAGCATGTTGAACCTGATTATCAATTTATCCGAGAGTTGGTGCTAGCTAATCTTCTCAAAGTACAATATGTGTGCACTCAGGACCAACTAGCTGATATTCATAGTAAATCTTTGTCTAAATCCAGGTTCTTATACTTGCAATCCAAGCTTTCTCTTAGACTTATGGATGCATCCAAGTTCAACTTGAGGGGGTGTAAAGAGTTAAGTAAAGTTGGTTAGATGTTTGTCATAATTCTTGTGTAAATTGATAGATTAGACAAGGGCATAACTGTTGGAAATGTGCCCTAAAACC